GCTTAGAAAAAGAAGGGCACCCAATTTTCACACATGTTTGGATATAAAAAGGGGAGGACTTCCGAGAGGGGGACGGAAAAAAAAAAAAAAAAGAGGCAGCCGACAGAGAGCTTGGAGGCGAGTTTGAGACAGAGCTTGCGTAGATTTTGTGTGAGTGATGGTAGACGCAAAGGCAGCCACTGGGACACTTCAATCCAAAACAAAGGGACAAGCGCAACAGTGAAAGCTACAGATCTGAGTTCCACAAATTGGGTTTTTGCTCTTCTAAACTTCTTTTTTCCTTTGTTTGGATATGGAATTGTGGTTCATCAATTTAATCTCAGATTTGATCATGTTTGGTATAAACTAATTTTTTCCATCTAAGGCTACGATGTAGCCTGATAAATTTAATATAGAATTTCATGATTTTTATATTTTCAAGGGTTATTATTTCATGTAGAGTATATATTATTGTTCTTAATGCTTTTTGATGATTGACCACCATTAAAACTGATTTGAAGAGCATAATTGAGACCAAGAGGAGATTTTATGTAATAGCTTTTAGTAATATATACCATGAATTGAACGAAAGCCAAAGATGGACCAACGTGATTTGTGTAGCACTAGTGATAAGTGGACTTAATTTTCTGCGTAAACTAGGGAATTTCATAGAATATAATACATCTTTATCTATTTAAATTCACATAGAGATATAGTGGGTTAATAGGTGAAGATAGGTTTGGTATAACTTGAGAAAGTATATCAAATAAAATAGAAAATCCCGTTGTTACATGAATAATAAATACCTTGAAAGTATATTGATCTAAATTCTATATTAGTTGATGATGGTGAAGTCGGATGCCTTAGACTTTTAATTCTTGGTATTACTCAAGGTTTTTAAAACTGGACCGGATCGACCGATTGAACCGGTGGGATCGGTACCCGATGATGAAAATGGTTCAGTTTACATAAGAAAACTGTTTGATATCAAAACCAGTCAAAATCGGTCAAAATTGATAAAACCGATGAAAACCAGTAAAAATCGATGGAATCGATGGAACCGAAAAAATCACCGGTTCGATTTCTCATGCAATCTTCTTTCAATTTTTTCCAATTCCACCCTTCCCATTCCTTTCTTATACCCATTTTAACCTTTAATTTTAACAAAATTACAAAATTATCAACACCAAATTAGAAAATCCATGCCTGCAGCTTGCTCCTCTTATCAAATCTTCCTTGCTATTTGGACTGATCGGTTCACTATCGAAAACCGAACCTAAAAACGGTTCAATGACTGGTCCGATTTTAAAAACCTTGGTATTACTCAAAGTTAATTTAGTTTTTTTTTCTTTAATTAGTTTAGTTATTTACTTTATTCAAATCATTTAATTTCAATTATTCAAATAAAATTAGAATTCATTAATTTTGGTACTTAATTAGTCTACAGTCTCTGTGGGACGATACTCTATTTTCATCATTAAATTTAAGGATGGCAACGGGTCCCCACGGGGGCGGGGACCCCCTCCCCATCCCCATCCCCGTCAATGGCGGGTACGGGGATCCCCGCGGGGATTTTTGGCGAAGGGTCAAAAATTGCCTCCGTCCCCATCCCCACGGGGAATAATAGGTCCCCGCGGGTATTCGGAGTCCCCGATAATGAGAAAATGAGAAAACAATGTAAACCCAAAATTAGAAATCAAATGCTGGATAAGTACTGAACGATGGAACTTAAATTTACAGCATTGTTTTGAAGCAGGTTGTTGCAAGCAACATAAATGAAACCACTATTTACCTGACACTCATATATAAAGACAAGTTGTTGCAATTAAAAGAAAATTACCAGAAAGAAATGTATCCAAATCTTCTACAGCCACATCAAACACAGCACCATTTCCATCAGCAGTGAGTGTCAGACCCTTCACTGACTCAACCTTTTCCTCAGGCAAGAATCTCCTCAATACGCCATATGCAAATCTTATACATTAAAAAAAACAAAAAGAATCAAAAAAGTGAATAAGATTCGAAGGGGCCATGGGAAGAATATAGGCCATAACATGAATCGATTGTTGAAAATACAATTAAATTCATCAAGCAACATATCAGTTATCTTGCCTAGAAGATTAGAATAGAAGTACACATATGGCTAACAGAGATCAAAGATGCAAACTTGGGGTACTTA